TAGAATTTGTTTCAAAGCAGAGTACCTCAACTTCAGCGCTGCAGTACTGCCATTTTGTATGGGATCATTCTTTACTGATATGAAGTACATGGGTTATGTCACACAAAAAAAGGTGCTGTTCTTTATTGCAATGAATTAAAGCCATTTATTTTTTTTCTCCGTGAGTTACAGGATAAAAGATAAACCAATTTAAAAAACAGTCACAAATTCTAGTTTGTTGCTGATTTAAATCTGATTTTATACTTCTACAAGTGCAAATATTAATGTTTTCTCATGTGAATAAGACAAAGATGTAAAATCTGAGTTGAAGACACTTGAGGTTTTATACTCAATAATGAATCTCTTAGATTAGGTTCTCCCAGACACATATCTTTAAACAAGAAATCAAGAGTAAATGGTTTATGTGGGAAACAAAGAGAATGCTTGGACAAGGTATGGTAGGGAATGAGACAAGGAAAAGAAGTCAGTTAGTAAAAGGTATGATATCAAGACATCTTCTACTGTGATTCAGATTGCCCAGTAAAAAGTGCTTTGACATGATCCAAAGTACCAATCATACATTTAAAAACCCCAATCACAGAATATCCAGTGCACTATTCTGTAGACTTGTATGTCAGACTGACATCCAGAGATCCTCAAAACTAACACTGGAAAAACGGAAATGAACACATTGACATAACATAAATTTTAAAATGCTGTCAATCGTTCTTTATTCAATACGAACTATAAATTAATATTGTGTATAGATCTGCAAGTAATGTATTACACACAGCACATTGCACTTAAGAGGAGGCTAATTAATAATTTTCTGTTAACAGGCCAAACTAACAATGGTGACTTATAATCAAGTCCTCACTCAATCAGGAACTGTCCAAAGAGAAATTGTTACTCTACATAACACCCTCAGGAGAGGAGTGGTACCATCTGCCAGCAACATGCTGAAAATGGTAAGATTAATTAACAGCAGCAATAATGATGACAATAATAGTAATGGTGATTACTGAGTTTTTATTAAGTTTTATTCATTTTCAATATACTAAAAGCCTGGTCTTCACAAGCAAAGCTATGGCACAGCAGAAGAAGAAATGGAGGCCCAGAGGAGGTAAGTAAATTTCCCCAAATCATGCAGTTAGTAAATGACTGAGCAACAATTCCCACGCAGACAGCCTGGCTTCATCCACTGCACCCTAGGACGGTGCTTCTCAACCTTGAGTGTGCTTAAGGATCACCTGAAGATCTTGGTACAGCACAGGTTGCTGGGCCCCACGCTCTGAGATCCGGATTTGGGAGGTCTGGGACGGAGACCATGACAAGTCCCCAATCAGTATCATCAGCACAGCAAACTTCGTTTAACACATTATTGAGGCGTTTCGTAGCTATTTTCATTGAGCAGCAGCCCAGAGGCTAAGACTCATCTGAGAATCCAGATGTCCAGATTCTCAGCCAGGTGATGCTGCCAGGTAAACAAATATTGACAAACCTGTTTTCCAGTTCCCCTGTATGCCATAAAAGGAGAGAGAAATTGTCTTTCCACTATAAACCTCATGTGTGAGCAGGTTAAGTGCTGTAAAACAAAACAAATTTAGGGAAGTCTCAGATGATTAGCCTCACATGTATTATCTCACAGAAGGAGCACTTAGGTGTTTGGGAAACCTTATCCTGGTTCCTTAAATCCTGGACTGGCCTAAAGTAGTAAGTTAGAAATAGCGCAGGCTCTAAAGGGTGATTCTAAGGGCTAGCTTCCTCATGGAAATGATGAAGAAGCAAGTGAATAGAAAAAATGATTTCAAATTTTATCCCTTGGTTTTCTAAGAATCCAAAATGTTATCTGAACAAAATAATAAAAACCAATAGGCATTGTCGCATTGTGTGTGTTGTATCTGACATGCATATTGTGTGTACTTACTGACAGGCACTCTTCTAGAACCTTCTTACATGAATTTATTGAATTCAATAGTTTTGTGACTAGATGCTGTCATTTTCATTTTACAGATGATGAATCTGAACCACAGAGAAATTAGGTAGCTTATCCAGTCATAAGTACTGGATAAGGAGAGATTCAAATGCAAATGGAGCAATTCCAAGCTCTTATTTACCTCCCTTAGGACAAACAGGGTCAAGGCTCCTTGGTTTCCAGAGGAGCAAATAAGTGTAGGCAGGATGTCCTAAAGAAGTCATGGAGTAAATGGAATACACATCTTCTGATTTCAGAGACTTTATTATTGTGGATTAAAGGTTTATACAAAGGAAACATTAGAATATAAGAACGAATATATTCAAGTGCTAAGTTGCAAAGGTATGAGGGAGCAGCAAGATGATAAATTGGGTAAAATGAGTAACATTTTAAGGGGAAAATGGGGATTGAGTTGTTCCATGAATAATGTATA